GCTCAATTTAATTGGACTAACAACATAATCCAATAATCTTGTTATTGTATTTGAGCTCAACGATATTAATGGACTAACCAAACAAAGTCCACAATACATGTTATGTTCTCCATCATATAACATGAACCCTAGCTGCCAACACCAAAATCTTATTATATTGCAGCCAGGAAAGCCATACGTTGGTTCCATTGATTCCAAATCCATCATCATCATCAAATGTTAATTAATTCCAAATGCATTGAACAGTGCATACAATCCATACAAATATATATCCAGTACGTGTATATATATATATATATATATATATATATATATATATATATATGTATATATAAACAGTATGCACACAAACATATATGAACATTTGACACGCCAACCAACAAATATGTATTGATTCCAATGTGTTTGTTGAATTCATATGATGACAAAGGTTAATATAAACATATATTTTGACAGTGCAGTGGCAATCAACAGTTAATATCGACAAGTCGGCAACACCGATTTGATTCCAAATCATGAACGAACACAACAAAAATATTATACAATGATAATATCAAACCCACAATTCTTTAAACCTTATAATTAAAAATCCCCAAATATCATGAACCCTAATCTTAGTGATTAATCAATTTACAAGCAGGCTCTGATACCAAATGTTAAATTAATCCTTTATGCGCTATAACTTAAATGCGGAAGCACAATTAACAATGATCGCATGTAAATCAAATCAATCAACTAAACTATGTTCATGATCATGGACTTTTAATTAAATAGGAATGATAGGACTTACTTGGTTCCATTGAAGATGTAATCTCTAAATTGAATGAATCAAGAATATAATGCTTCACCTCTCTGATCCGTATACCTTATTCACCTCCTGATATGATACAGAGACTAGAAAACTTAGAGATTTGAAACCGTTAAGATCCCTAGAGTTTTCCTGAGTATTTATAGATGTGATGAGAAACCATCTTTCAAGAGCAATGGAGAACCTCCTTTAAGAATAGAAATCCTTTAGGAATGTGACCTCCTTTTAGGAATAGAAATCCCTTTAGGATTGTGAAACCCATAACCTTATCCATTATACATCTTTTAACCCTTATAAACTTAAATTTTAACAGAATGAGTGGGGGGGAATTTCACCCAGTAATTCCGTCTTTACACATCACTAATCATCAACGTGAGTACCTTATGGAATTACAACCTTTATTATATAAATCATTGTTAGGAAATAATTATTTCTAACATCTATGTGTGCAAGCTAGCTTCGGTGTTGTTGATGGTGATACATGAGTACAATGCACCGGCCTAGTTTAAATGGTTGGGATAGGTATGTGCCTTGTTTGTTGTTTTGTTTTTTTTTTTTTTTTTTTTTTTTTTTGGGTTTGGGCTGATAGTGAGTATGTATGGTCTCACCATTCTCATGCACAGAGCTGTTTTTGTGAAATGGGTATTTTCTAGCATGCATGCTAGCTTCCTGGTAATTTATGTTTTCTGCTTGGTTTTGGCAGTGTAGTTAAGATAGTTGTTTTCTATTGGGTATGTTTCGTGTTTTTGGTGTTGTGGGTTTATAGTCAATACATTTGCTTACAACACTTTCATGGGCAGGGGACAGCGAAGGGGGTCTACGCCCGGGAGTTTGATGCATTGTACGATGGGTTAACACCCGAATCTAGCTCTCAAATATTGGACTCAAATAAATGCGAACAAGGTTTACTTTCAATTCGTATTATAGTTTGGTCATTACAATTTCGTATTATAGTTTCCCTATTTAATGAGTCTATAACCATTATTAGCAGATGAGAGTGAGGGAGAAACAACACCAGGTGGTGTTGAGCATTGCATAATGGAGATTTCTTGAGGCAATTGTTTGGCAAATAAGTATCGGGTGTCCAATATAATTGTGAGGATGCATTTGTGCCATATGGTTTTGACTTTGGCAAATAAAAGTGCACAGTGATACATTCGGATTAATATTGAGTTCAATAAATGTTTGTCCGAACCGTGTCTAATAATATATCGATGCCTTGTTTGTAGTTTAGTTCAGTGGTGTATTTGACAAGTATTTATTTTCTAGTGTATTATTCTAGGATCTTGTGTGTTTTGGCAGTAAGGTTATTGTTGTTTTAGCATTGTTTTAATTACTTCATCTCTCATGGTCTATCCCTACTCCTTTGGCAATCATGTTACGCATTCTAAGTAGGTAGTAGTGCACCACTGCACCACATTATGCATGTGGTTTTTGGTTGTATATTAGTTTATTTTATGTTCCTACAATTATTCAATATTCTGTGCATCATGGTAATACATAGCCTTAGGTAGTATACTGTGTACTTTCTATTTTGCACCGTTGTTGCTTTGCTTAACCAGAATAACACATATGTCCAAATTATAACAGTCCAAAATAGACATGTATTACTGCATAACTACACAAAAAAGATGATATATAATTAATGAGAATACTAACTTAGGGAGTTAGGGGTAATTAAAACTATTTAATAGCACACAAAATCAAGAATAGATTAAAATTGTGCCTAGAAAAAATGCCATCAATAAAATCCAAGTTTAAACTAAATACTAATGTTGAACTATCCAAGAACTAGCCAAAATGATAAACCCATAATGTTTTACTATTTAAACTGTGCTAGGTAGCCTTGCTTGACCTTTCAGGGTTGTACCGTGCTAGTGAACTACACACGTGAAAATAGACTCATGCATATTTATATCAGACATAATAATGTTATCCATGAAACATTTACAAGGGTTCAGAAGTTGCTCCCTGTCCCCCTTCACCAATTCACACTCCCATTCGGCACAATCTTGGCCAGTGTATGATTCCATATGACGCATGGCATAGATGCCTAGAGTCATGCTTGTTTGATGTATCTCGCCAAACCATTTGCGCTGCATCCTCTTCGGTCTCATGTTTCAGATCAAGACTGCACGGATTGGCTGGTTGTTTTCAAGAAAAGATGCTAGCGAGTCAACCTGTACAGCTCACCAGTACTGTATCAAAATTTGAAAAATCATGTACACCCCGAACTACCAAAGATGCACCACAGCCCATAACTAACATAATGTTTGGATAAACTACAAACACAGCAATATAGCATAAAATGCCATAATAGGCTGGAAAAATGAAAAACAAAACAACTAACAAGCCAACAAAGTTCAATCAAACCAGGTTTAATCTGTGGTCCCTTCTAAATGGAACTGCATTTGGAAACTGAGGGTCCCCAACAAAATTAGAACTTTCCTTTGGCTGGCAAGGCATGAAAGAATTATGTGCAACAGTAACAGATCCAAGAGGAGTATGGCGGATCATGATAAGTGTTGGATCTGTAATGAATTAACAGAAGATACTGAACATGTTCTTCGTTATTGCCCTAAAGCTTTGGAAGTTTGGAAAGCAGTCTTGCCATCCTCTCATGCAGGTAACAGGACTTTACCCTTCTCTAATTGGATTGACCAAGGATTGGTAGATAGAGGGAGGAGCAGTAATCCTTCCAAGAACAGTATACTCTTTGCCACAACCATTTGGTGGATTTAGAAATGGCACAATGAGGAAGTGTTCAACGATAAAACTTATGTTCTGCAGTTCAAGACAGCATGGATTAGATCCCAGATTAATGAAATAAACAGAGCCTTTTCGAGAGCCGGAGGCCCCCTGACTGATGGAAATTCTAGAGAATGGAAGCACAGCATGGATTAGATCCCAGATTAATGAAATAAACAGAGCCTTTTCGAGAGCCGGAGGCCCCCTGACTGATGGAAATTCTAGAGAATGGAAGCAGCTTGCTTGGTCTAACCCAGCAGAAGATGTCATTAAGGTGAATGTTGACGGCTCTGTAGATTTGCAGTCGAATGAAGCTTCGTGCGAAGGGGTGATGCGTGATCACATGGGCCAGAGGAAACAATGATTCGTTTTTAACATTGGCAATTGCTCTCCTCTTGAAGCCGAAGCCTGGGCTTTACTCAAGGGCATTCAAATAGCAGTAAAAATGGGTTTTAAGAAAGTAATTTTTGAAAATGATTCTAGCATGATTGTCAAGTTTGTCAATGGTGACTTGTACCCTTCTATCGCAACATATAACATCCTGGAGGCATGTAAGAAAGAGCTGCACAGGTTTGAGTTGTGGCAGGTGGTTGAGATTGCTCGTGAGCAAAATAGTGTGGCAGATGCAATTGCCAAACAAGCCAAGCATTTCCCCAGAGATTTGCATGTATTAGAAAACCCCCCTGATTTTGTACTAGGCCTAATTGAGGATGACTTAGATGGCTTCCCAGCTTGGCGCTATGTGTATAACATAAATCACTAAGTTTGTTAAATAAAGTGGTGTCCCCCTTCCTTCTGATTAAAAAAAAAAAAAAAAAAAAAAAGCCAACGAAAGGAATAGAACCAAACAACAAGCATACTAGATGTTTCTGAAATAAATTCAAGCACTAGAAATTGAAAATATGACAAACAAGACTTCGTACGCCATTTCTGTATATGCAAACATAATTACACAAATGGTAGTACATCCCTCACTACTAAAGTGCACTATTTCTCAATCATATTACACAACACCAATGTCCACAGAGCATACTAACAGCAAACCAAATGCACAGTTGAACACTGGTTTTTTTTTTTTTTTTTTTTTTTATAAACTAAAAATTGGGCATTCCGTATTTCCACAAATGCGCTAGGCCTCCTTACAATGTTAGTGCATACCAAACTACTTCAGTGCATGCATACTCTTCTATAAATGCACATCACTTATCTCTCGAAGTGCACAACAGGATCACCCATGATGCACAGATAAAACACTAATGTTGGCAAAGAAAAACAAGTGCACTCCTTTCTAACTAAGATGCACTACGTCCCACAACATGAACACTACTTTAAAGGTTGATTAAAAACATATTCACAAAATGTCAACATAGAAAATAAGGGAGTTTAAAGCTCAAAAAATTAATGCAAACCGTAAGACATACAAAACTACTAAAGTGCACTCCTATCCATCTAAAATGCATAACATTTATTCCACAAAATTACACTTGGGTCCCGCACAAGACGCACAGATAAAGCAAATACCTTTTTAAAAAAAATTATTCCACCCCTTACTAACACAGATGCACTACGCCCATACCAACACCACCATTTTCATTACAACTTCAAAACAGAGTAAACATCTCAACATCGCGAATAAAAAAAACTTTAACCCCTTCCCTCAAACACAATATGCTTCTACTAGTTCGACAAACAACATTAACAACTAATCAAAATGCACTTAACCCACAACTAGAAATTAAAACGCTAATACAAATAATCATGCATACATAGTGGAACCTCGACATGGCAGTGCCTATGCCTGGCGTGCCACCCTAATACCATTTTAATGTATCGCGTGGTGATCCCCGTGCATTAGATAATGCATTTACGCTCTGGGTATAGGTGGCATTGCACAGCGCCACCTAGTAATGGCGGAGTAGATATTGAAAGCCATTGGTTGGTGTATATTATGCCCTGGAACAGATATTGAAAGAAGTAATCCAATAAGTAAACTTTAGTCCCCTACAATGAAATCATTTCCTTTTTTACTAAACAAACTGTTGCAATGAAACTATGATTAAACAGTATATTTAAACAGTATATTGAATATATTAAACAGTATATTTAATCCCTCTAACTTTATACATTAAACAGTATATTTGGTTGTTCAATTAGGTTCTTTGAACTGGACGAAGGTGAAGATGTTGCAGCATAAAACTGAAAATAGTAAGTTGGCAATGAAAATTCATACCCTGTATTACATAATAGTGAACTACGACCATACTAATAACACATTTCTAGACTTAATTGCATTCCACTTGGGAGTCCGGTGGGAACCATATCTGCAGTACCTCACTAATTACAGTATGCAAGGTTGTATTTTGTAATTTCATTCCAAACCAGAAAGTTCAAAAATGCATGATCAAACCTACTACCAGTGCACAACCGTGGTTTAATTTTTGCTTTGCAATGAATTAGCTTTTGTGTTTTTTTTTTTTGTGTGCAACCCTACACCGTAATCACGCTCGTTATATATAACTAGTAATTCACCCCCGCGATGCATGGAAAAAAATTATGCTATTATAAATATAAATAAAAAATAAAAAAACTAAAATATTTTAAATTATTTAATATAATAATATTTTTGAGCTTCCATTGGTCAAGTATTTATTATTTTTATAGAATACAAAATTAAAATTAAAATTTTGTATGGTTAATATAATCTCGATTTATGTGCATATTCAAATAAACTTATAGAGATAATTTACATAATTACATTGATTTATTCTTAATTGCATTTCATCTATATTATAATTTTCACAATACAAATAATAACTAAGATAATTACATTTGGAAAGCAAATTTCAAATTTTGTATGTGTAAATTTAAACTCTAATTGAACACATTTTTTATATGATTATATAATATATAGCTATTTTATTTTTTAAAAGTATATTTTTTATATTATTATATAATATATAGTTATTTTATTTTTTAAATGTTGTACTTTTTTTTTTATAATAAAAGATGTTGTGGCATTAATTATAACATTAATTATTTCCCAAACCATATAGCTTCTTTATTATATAAAGGATGGGTTTTTACCCATTCACTCGCTTAGCCTAAAATCCCCCCAAAGCACCCTCAATACCAAAAACCACAAACAAAAAATCTGGAAACCCCTTCCCAATTATACAAACCATTCCAGACACAAGAATAGGGAGACAAAATAAAAAATAAAAATAAAAATAAAAATAAAAAAAAAAAAAAAAAAAAAAAAAAAAAAGCAGATTACACCATTTACTTCCTTAACCTAAAATTCCCCCCAAAGCACCTCAATATCAAAAACCCCAACCAAAAAACTTGCATTACTAGGAATATAACGATAAAGCATAGCAACCGCCACTAACCTCGTTGTGCCCACCGGTGCATCGTCCGATGCCTTGGAGAGACCCTAGGAGCTATCTCGTTCGTAGCTCGGTCGAATGCACCACGAGCCGTCGAGGGTGGAGTACGACGGCCAGACTGGTGCTTGAACGATCGAGACGCCGCCACGACTCTGTGCGCATCGGTCGAGGGCAGAGTCTTCGGTGAGAATGGATGCCCGGATTCACTCCTCTTCGATCGGCGACTGCCACCAGACCTCGCCATCAGCTACCGCACAAACCGGCGGAGAGAGCAAAGAATTGACAGTGATAAGCGGTGGAACAAGAAAAACGGGAAAAATAAAATAAAAACCAGACCCCTAAGGCCTAAACACACACGCACCAGTGGTTTTTTGAAATTACAATAGCGCCCTTAAACAAAGCAGCATCCTAAATGCAAACAATAAACGCGGTGCACACGGACAGGCGTGCACACTCAATCATAGCCGTTGCTCTGTTCAAATGCACAGTCAATAAAAGTGCACAAGTGCACATGATAATTCAAGTTCACATTTGAACATTATTCTATATATATATATATATATATATATATATATATATATATATATATATATATATATATGCTTCAAATCTGGTGCAACCCCTATACTAGATGAGATCATGAGATCATGAGATCTTATAATATCTATTGATTCATTTTTCATAAATGATTGAGATTATAAGAGATTGTAAAAGTAATTAAGGATATATTTAAATCAAAAGGATTAAATAGTAATTGTAGATATATGTTTAATTATGGATATAATTCAATTGGAATCTTAAGCATTATATTAGGGAGATTATGAATGAAAATTGATATTTTAAATTATTAGGGACTCTATCAATGGTAATAATTAATTATATTTTGTACGTATGAAATTTTAAATTATGAAAAATTTTACAACGGTCTGTGCATGGGTGTGAAATGGTGTGTGCGTTTTATAGTTTGCCATGGTGTACACCTCCTGTTACAGAAAACCGCACAGGGCATTCCACACCCGCGCACACACCATCGTAAAATTCCCCACAATTAAAAAAAAAAAAAAGAACACAACAAGCCCAATACTATATCTACTACGCACTGATTATCTACTTGAAATTCAAACGTCGATACCCAAATTAGATTCGTATATTTTTGTTTTCTTTTGGATACGTTTCGCACACGCCTGAAACTAGTAACACAAACCAAAATGTACATGCCTGTATCACGAAACGCACATACCAAAACGCATAATTTTATGAAAAAACCCAGCACGCCATGGTGTACAAGTCCTGTTACAGTAAAACGCACACACCATTCCACACCCACGCACACACCGCCGTAAAATTCTAAAGAAAATCACTAAGAGAGAGAGAAATATTGATTAAGGAGAGATGAAATAACGCTACAAATCTTTATAAACATGGAAATAAATGAAATGGAAAGTAATAAATATAGTGCTTAAGGACAAAAAGACACATGCTTCATCTAAAATCAGTATAACATGGGATCCAAGCGGTAATCAATCTGAATCGTCAAAAAATTAAAACCAACGATCAGGGAGTGTGCTCACGGGCTCGGCTGACTAGGGGGTGTGCATCGGATTCAAAATCTATATATATATATATATATATATATATATATATATATATATATATATATATATATATATATATATATATATATATACTAATAAGAGCCCAAGAGAGTTAGGCCTATAATGGGTAGAAAAAATGGCGGTCAATTTTTTTTAATCAAATGAATGGCTCAGATTGATCAGATTTTAATTTTTCCTTGAGATTTCCTAATTTATCCTTAATGAATATGATTATCCGTTAACTTTTTCGTTAAATATTATCTTTTCCGTTAATTTCCGTTAGTTCACCGTTAACTTACTCATTGATTTCAATAAGAAAGGTCTTAGGTTCGAACCCCATCCCAATCAAAGTTGGCATAATTAGTACTCTATTTTACTCTTATTAAATTTAATAATAATTTAGTAGCTACAACAAAAAATAATACATATGTCTTTCTTTAATTTAGAATTATGTGTCTATAATGCCTTTATTCAAAAAAAATTATTCATAATCAATAAATTAAATAAGAGAAATAATTTTATTAGTTATATTGTCTTTATTTTTCTCCAATATAAAAATTCTTTACATTCAAAGTTCAAATTTATTAATTGATTATATTCGCTACATTGTCCCTTCAATGTCTTTATTAAAAAAAATTATTCATTATCAATAAATTAATTAAGAGAAATAATTTTATTAGTTATATTGTCTTTATTTTTCTCCAATGTAAAAATTCTTTACATTCAGATTCATCAATTGATTATATTCACTACATTGTCTATTACTCCCTCCGTCCCGAATTGGATGTCTCATTTACTTTTTGCACGCTTTTTAATGAATTAAAGTAAATGTTATGCACTTTCCAATTATGCCCCTCACTTTTTCACTTTTGGAAATAAAAACAATAAAGAAAGCAAAAGCTAGAAGGGTAATTTGAAAAAAAGTGGAATGATAGTGATGTTCAATTTTGAAAAGTGGACAACATTTTGGGACAAACTAAAAAGGAAAGTAAGACACATAAAATGGGACAGAGGGAGTATCTTTTTTGTCCATTATTTTTTAATTAAATATCAAAGTTATAATACAAAATAATGCTATATATTTCTTTACCAAGTTTTTTAATTTATTAATAACATGAAAAAATTTTAAAAATTTAAATTAATAAAGCCAACCATATTAACTACTTGAGAAATTTGTTGACAAAGAGAATATTCAAATCACACAACAAATTAAAATGATAAACTATCTCGCAATGTTCTTGTTTGACAATCAGCAGTTAGCGGTTAGCATTAGTGGATTTGACCAGCGAATTATATCAACGGTTGGTAAAAAGATATTTGAAAAAATTAGTTGTTTAAATTAACATTTAAAATGACCTAAGGGTATAATAATAATAATAATAATAATAATAATAATAATAATAATAATAATAATAATAACAATAACAATAACAATAACAATAACAATAACAATAATAACAACAATAATAATAATAATAATAATAATAATAATAATAATAATAATAATAATAATAATAATAACCAAGAACCTTGTGCTCAGATGGCATATAGTAACCTCTCCCATGTGGGAGGTTATGAGATCGTGCCTCAATGGAGGCGTTCTTAACTCTGTGTGCTTCATTAAGTTGAGAAAGTTTGATTGAACAGATACTACAATGTAATAGAGCCAGTAGCATTCAAAGTAATAATTTTTTTTTAAAAAAATATAGATGTGTTTTAGGGAAATCATTCTAAAAACGCTAAGTGAAAATATTGTAAATTGCAATGTTTGTATTTTCAGTGGTTTGGAAAAAATAGTTACTTCAAACTGTTGAATAACCAAAACACTTTCTTTAGCATTTTGATCTTTGGGTTACATCATATTTACCAATCATCCAATATCTTTGGGTTACATTATAATTAAAAAATTTAAATTTTTACTCCATCTAAATTCATTAAATTAGGAATTTCTTTATCCATAATAATTTATTCAACATTAATGGTTGAACTAAATGAACACTGAGCAAAACACCTAAAGGACTGGTACCGTTGATTCATTCATTGATCTTGTATATATGTGCATTCATTAAATATATTAGAACCCTTTGCAACAAAAATACTTGGTTACTATTAAAAAAAAAAAGTTTAGTAACAATTATAATGAATCTCCTATATTACATTGTATTCATATACTATGAATTACATATTTAAATAAACAAATTAGACATTAAATTACTTATGTTGAACTTTTGATCTATAATCTTGCATTGATATACTTTCAAATATTTATTTAATTATAAATATTGGGTAGAGAAAATTACCATCAAATTATTAAGTCAAATGAATAGTTCAGATTGTTCAGATTTTAATTTTTCCTTGAGATTTTCTAATTTATCCTCAATTATATGATTATCCTATCCGTTAACTTTTCTATTAAGTATCGTTAATTCACCATTAGTCTAATTCTAATATTAAAGTCTAATATAGAATTATAACTACAACATTAATTTAATTATAATATTAAAGTCTTAATAGAACTCTAACCACAAATCCTACTGTCGGAATCTCCTCAAACAATATTAATATATATTTATTATTTTATGCTTAAATTTTTATTTGCTCTCCCTTATGTCCCGTATTTGGTTTCAACCATACCCATACTATTATTTTATTGACAATTATAATCAATTTGACTATATTATCTTGCATTTGTAAACTTAGAATTACCAATTTAAATACGCAAATTCAATATTCAATTATCTATGCATGAACAATTCCAATATAATATTGTCTTGATATACTTTAAAATACTTATTTAAGAAAAACATTGGGCATTATACCAATCGCGCAATACGCGTAAAAAAACTAGTATATATTATAAACACAAATAAAAAAAATTATTACACATAACTCTAGAATTGCAAAAAAAATAATAAATAGAATTAAAAAATAATAATAACTCGGCCGAGTCGACTGCCTAGTCGGCAGGCCGATTAGGTGGCGCATAAGGGCAAAAATGTCGCAGCCGCCTAGGCCGCATTTTACAACCATGAGTCTTAACACACTTAAGACAAAGACTATGTGCAATAAGAGACTACAACAACCCAATTTGTAAGTAAAAAGGTCAAATAGGCCCATGTACTAATCAAGATTGTTCATCCGACACCATGGACTAAAATATGGTTCAACTAGACGCTTATACCCCCAATTTTTTTTGGCTTACCATTTTTAGCCCATTCCTCAGTGAATGCTAAGTTGGAATGTTGGATGCAATGTAAATTTATACGTGAATTTTTGTTTTGATTTGTTTTAATATATCCTTGTGTTACATGGATATAAAGTTAAACAAAAAATCATATCCCTAATTTAGAAATCAACATCCCCAAATCTATATATATATATATATATATATATATATATATATATATATATATATAAAAGTAAAATCCTCCTAACAAATTTTCTCCCCAAAACTTTTGTAGTAAAACTTATTTGGTAAGTAAATGTCAAATGAAAATTAAATAAAATCTATTAATTGGTAATATTATATATGGTATTATATTCTATAATATAATTGATAATATTATTGTTCAAGTATAATACAAATATTATTGTTCAACTATAACAAAAATATTATTCTTCAAGTATATAATAAAATTAAAATAATAACAATAATAACAACAACAACAAAAACAACAACAACAATAATAATAATAATAATAATAATAATAATATTGTTATAAATATTATTATTATGGACATTATTGTATATATGGTAGTAATTGT